AAAGTTGACATATTAAACAATGCCACATACAGTGTGTTAACTGAGTGAGTAATCTGCCAAAATCATTCATCGGAACTGTCAACGTTTTCCTTTACTCTTAAACCTCTTCTTTTGTACGGAATTCCAAGCTACATAACATTTCGTACAAAGAGAGATAAATTGCTGCTTCCAGCAATTGAACCACCAAATCCCTGTCTCAAAGATTAACCATAATCCTTAATACTATCGAGGAAGGTCTTTCCCTATAGTCACAGAAAGTATTTGAGACTAACGGAAAGGATATCATGTGGATTCTCAAAATTCAAAGGATTCGCTTACATTATTATAATCTCAGAAACGGACAGAGTTCGTCTCCTTATTAAAACCTTCAAATTAGTCAACACAGAGCTCAGTAAAGCTGTCAAAATGTTTTATGGCAGACATGTGGAGGAGCTATCACAATTCGATAAATCACTGTCAAAAATTATGTCTGATGCAATTGCCTATTTTGACGATAGTTTTTCATATTTCTTTTACGTTTATGACGTGTGCCATCGGCGGAGCAGGATACGCTCACCTTTTCGCGAATACATGGTATCAGAACTGATCGACAGTGGTTCATTAACATATGCTCTGTCATCGTATCTCATAGTGTTAATCACTCGATTGTTTACGGACAGCGTCGTGCATCTGTATTGCCACGTCAAACAAACATATACTCAAGATGTTGTCAGAGTAATTTTATCTGGTAGGGACGAGAAAACCAATGACTTGAAACACGATCAATAACAGAGTACAACGACACGTTATCAGCAGTCAGGTAAGGTAGGGTCAGATTAAACTTAACCCTCAACCATTGTTGTTTCCCTAATTTAAAACGCCAGGTATGGTATTACATTTACCGTCTTTTGGTATGGCCGGGGAATCGAATTTTAGACATTCCACTGCCCGGTAGACGCTCGATCTACCTCGCCAACGACCCGGACTGCCACATCACAGTCGTGGATCAACATATTTTCCAGACAGCACAAATATTTATGGACGGCTTGGGTCACGATGCAACTGTCATATGACAAACCAGTTTCGTATGTCACCTGATGATTTTCCCATTAATTACTGCATTTTCAAACATAATCCTTACATATGTCAGTTACCTAACGGAGTATTTATGTTAGCTCTCGCCTGAAGAATGACACGTGTTGCATCGATGATCATTATGTTATGTCATTACTAGAGTGGCAGTTCAAACGTGATGTAAACAGGTAATAAGTGTGATGTAATGCTCAATAAGCATTATTTCCAATTCACGGGTATATAAGAGAAGGCACAAATCTACTGGACACACTATTCAGTCTACCTTGAAGATTCATCCTTTGGACACAGGTATGCGTCATTTTCCAATTTTCATGCTATTGTCCTGTACTCTAAATGTAAACTAATTAAGTTTGGGATTTTTAAGAACAGATAATGTGTTGTTTTTCCCAAAAAATGGTTATTTTGGTGGTGTTTCTCACAACATGTATGAGCGTTTGGATGTGCCAAAACTGTCGTAAATTGAAGACTGCCACATCACAGTTGTGGATCAACATATTTTCCAGACAGCACAAATATTTATGGACGGCTTGCGTCACGATGCTACTGGTTTCATCAAGTGATATGACAAACCATTTTCCCATTAATTACTGCATGTTCAAACATAATCCTTACATATGTCAGTTACCTAATGGAGCTGTTATGTTAGTTCTCGTCTGAAGAATGACACGTGTTGCATCGATGATCATTATGAGATGGCAGTTCAAACGTGATGTAAACAGGTAATAAGTGTGATGTAATGCTCAGTAAGCATTATTTCCAATTCACAGGTATATAAGAGACGGCACAACTTTATTGGACACACTTTTCCATCTACCTTGAAGATTCATCCTTTGGACACAGGTATGCGTCATTTTCCAATTTTCATTCTATTGTCATGTGCTCTAAATGCAAACTAAATGCAAAGATTCTAAGTATGTTGTGATTTTTTAAGAACAGATCATGTGTTGTTTTTTCCCAAAAATGGTAATTTTGGTGGTGTTTCTCAAAACATGTATGAGCGTTTAGATGTGCCAAAATTGTCGTAAATTGAAGACCAGTACCCGAAACTGTTATTTTTGGTTTCAGCTCTTTCCAACACAAGCATGCAACTGAAGATTGTCTGTCTACTTCTGGTCGCCACTGTGGCGATGACAGCTGCCTACAGGGGTCAGTACAACTATCAGAGGAACTATGGACGTTACGGACGTTATGGTCTCTACGGCCATGACATTGAGACTCCCGACTTCCCGGAAATGGACAGCTACATGTACAGATATATGATGATGAGAAGTCGTGGACAGGGTAGACACAATACAAACAGCTACAACAGACTGAGGCAGCTTGCAAGACTTGAAGCGTATGACCTTATCTGAGGTAGGAAAGAATTATTCCCTTTCACACCATCTTAGAAACACATACACATACAATTCCCACACACACACAAACACAGTCACACACAAATGCACGCACTGAGGCACACAATGCACGCACGGCCTTAGATGTGATATCAAAATGAAAAATGTGTATTGATTATCTAATAAAACATTTTTCTGTCTACACAAAACTAAAACCCGAAATTGATTATGTAATGACATGGTTTGTAGATGTTCTATGGCAATGTATACTGGAAGGTATTTTTTTCATCTAAATATGTGGCTCAGACCAATTCGAGAAATAATGTTCTTCAACCGACCATTCCAGAGGCATCGATCGTGTATATTTTATTGCATATATCATGTATGGGACTAAACATACCTTTTATGTCTACGTAAATGTCATAGTCATCGGGTTTTTCCTTTTTTTTCAGAAACCACCATGTGTCATGTGACGTGTACACGTGTACATATGTAGGCGGCTGATGGGATTTGTATATAAACACATATTAATTGAAAAATAAACATTTGAAATCATAAGTTTGTTGTTCCTGGGAAATTATATTCTGCAAGCCCGCTGGGACATCGTTGACAGTTGATAATGTTTCAAATGTTTCAGGGTATGTTGCTCTTTGCTCTTTGAACTGTACTTTGTTCAACGTGTAATCTGCACCAGCATGGATAATCTATTCCTGACAGGAACAACTATGTTTTCTTTGATTGGCATTCAAGAAGTTGAGGAGATGAAGAATGAGGACGATTTATTCTGTATAGGCGACGTTATAATAGAATCTATGTCGAAACGTCGCCTATACAGAATAAAGAAGTTGTATATCCGAAAAATTGTCCTCATTCGCCACAATACACAATGCACAGACACACTGCAGATACATCCCTATACAACTATAACACTGGCACACTGAATATGTCAATAGGTTTTTGCAGTTTGTCAATGATCTATCACAGGAGTTGCGAACAAACACAACTACACAAATAATTTGAAATAGTTCTAGAAGGTCATTCAACATGAAACACCGAGGTTACAGAAGAATCACACTGAACACTACTAAATTTTTAAATCAATAGGTTTTTGTAGTTGCCAATGATCCATCAAGGGACATGCTAACTGCAATGACACATTTGATTTGACATAGGGCTTAGAGGTCATTTCCAAATTGAAACACCGAGGTAACAGAAGAATCAGACTGAACATAACTAAATTGTTAAATCAATAAGCTCAATACATAACCAATCATTTGTGAAGAAACAGACGCTATTGAAAAGATGAAAAATCAGTCCTTAGAATTTCTGTTTTGTGCCCTTGCGTAATTTTAAATTATTGCTATTCTTGCGATTGGATTGTGAAAGAGACCCATGAATTCTCTATACTTTAGAACATGGTAGGAAGTCGCTCCTTCCAAAAACGTATCCAAACCAGTTAACACAAGTTAGTTTTATGTCAAGCATGCCTGTCAAGTGTTGTGAATCTTTCCAGCTACTACTCTAACAGACTGAATGAGTTTGGTTTTACGCCGCTTTTAGCAATATTCCAGCAACATCACGGCGGGGGACACCAGAAATGGGCTTCACACATTGTGACCATGTGGGGATTCGAACCCGGGTCTTCGGCGTGACGGGCCAACGCTTTAACCATTAGGCTACCCCACCGCCCCTACCATAACAGAGGTTGTTTAGCCTTAATTACGTCCAGTATCAAAAGAGACAAACCTTCGGCTGACATACGTGTTGGGAAATCATTTAACTTTCATGAAGTGACATGAAGTCGATAGTTTCGTTGGCTCCCCCCCCTCTCTCATACTACTGACTCCGACTTTGACGCTATTGTTTCCGGTGAATGCAGATGTTTCTAACTCAGATTTAGTAATATACATGCTATTTTTAAATAAAGATGTTTTTGAAATGAACATCGTGAGATAACAAACACAGGTCAAATCATCAGCTCCGATTGTTACGTTCCTCCAGCCTGAGAGGAATCAATTTCCATTAAATACGTAAAAGACAGTGATACAAATAACATGGATGATGAAACTTGTGATGACAAAAGGTGTTCTCGCAAAAGGGCAGAATTGTACTGTTCTACCAGTGACACCCGCCACTCATACAGTTTCATTAAAAAAGCAAGTCTTTGTTGGCACAGGCACACCAGTGCCATGTAAAAGTCTCAGCACTGTATATGACTGAACAGTTAACATCCATCGACACAGCCATGAATTTGTACAGCAAAATTCATCATCTCATTCTTCAGAGAAACGACTTCCTTTTAGGTGTGTATTGTGCTAGTAAATATCCGACTAACCTAAAACTGACCATGAACAAATTATACCACATCAGTCGAGGAAACGCCCCGGCTTCGTCTTTCTTTAATGAGTTGTACTGGTACCTAAGAAGCGGTTACCGCACCCACAGGAGGCTGAGTGCGTGAGTTTAGTTTTTCGCCACACTCAGCAACATTCCAGCTACATGGCGTCGGTCTTTAAATAATCGAGTCTGGACCAGACAATCCAGTGATCAACAGCATGAGCATCGATCTGTGCAGTTGAGATACGATGACATGTGTCAACCATGTCAGCGCGTCTGACCACCCGATCCCGTTAGTCGCCTCTTACCACAGTAGGCTGAAGAAGCAGACATACAATCTTCTGTTGCGTCGTTAAAAACGAACAGTTCTAAAAACATAGAAAATTGAAATGTTATTGAATGTTAGTATTGGGTGTATCGCTTGTACTTGCGACAGTCTTGTTTTCATTTTGGTGAATTTTTCGACGGATTATGATCATAAAGCCGTAAAACCTTCAATTATTATCAGAAACGTAGATAGCTCGTGTAAGGGATAGTGTATGGCACATGAATGAGTAATATATGCAAGTACTGCCAGTGTACGCCCTGTCACTGTTAGTGTCATGCTGAGAAGAAAAGGTCTTATCTATACGATACGTACTTTTTACACTTTACAAAGATTTAGGAAAGATTTAAAATTGTATTCCCAGCTAAACAACCTTGATCATTTCCATTTCGACTCAAAGCTGACTTCACTTGCATTTTATGCTACCTCTGCTGGCTATTGGTATTATCACACATGTTGCTGGGCGGATCTTTCTATGATATAGTGCACACGACTCACGACACGATTCACACGACAAATAAGAACTGTAAATTTTGGACAGGTGACAGGTGACTAGAATCAAATGATAATCGGATGAATTTGTAGTTCCGAAGTTTTTTTCTGCATTCATTGACAATTTAATTTCATTTCATTTCAGTCAGTGAGTATCGCGAAAAATACCACAAGGGACAAATTTTCTTAGTATATTGTTAAATTTAATCGCATCTTTCTCAATGAAACCAAGCTGTGTAATATAACGTCTTTGAGAAGCATTTAGAAGTTGGAGCTGTAAGGAAGGATAATGAATGTATGGATGAACAACTTCTATTTTACAGTGAGAGCTACGTTTCGGAATGGGTTTTAAGATTATAGGAAAAAGGGTCCTCGGTATCAAAATCCTTGGTAAAAAAGTCCTGATAAAAAGGTTCTTTTGTAGTAAGAAACCTATTTAGTTATCAATTTGACAAGATTGGCATCAAAGATTTATTTTTTTAAACATAAAGGAATCACATAAAATGACAGATTAAAGTCTTAAATTTATGTTTTCGGAGGACTTGTTTATTTATGCAAATTTTGGACATTTTCTGGGTACTTTTTTAACTAGGACCTTTTAACCGAACACAAGTTTTAACACCGCTTGATAAAGATGTTGGAACCTACACCGAAACGCCGGTGCCACTGTTAAATAGAAGTTGTTCATCCATATATTGTCATCCCTTTTTTATCTAATAGACATAGAGAATGTCACCTGAGTGTCTTTTCATATCAAATATATCACCACGAGTTGATGAAGTTACAAATATCCGAGGCTTGCCGAGTGTGAGATTATATCATCAAGTTGTTTGACGTCATAGCATTGTGTGTCATGTAAATGATGATGTCAGGGCATTACACAAAATCTACTGTTAAAACTATATCTCCTAGGGGATAACGTTGATCTCACACAAGCAATATCTCCTGTGGAACACAGTTTCACAGTTAAGTCTCTTAATACAAACGGTGATCCACTGTGAGTATCTAAATTCAATACAAGAGAGAAATCAGTACACGTAGGAAAGCTGGGAAGGTAAATGTGAGAGTGACTCAAATTTCGTTTGAGTAGGTTTGATATTCATGTATTTAATTATGTTTAAATATGTGTATTAAGTTTTATTCCTATCCTATGTTTACCATTTCTAATGTGACATCTCAGTAATGAAGTCACAGTTTGATCACCGTGTGTTCTCCTTCAGGCAACAACACCTTCGCAGATCCCGTTACGTAACTAACACATGTAGGGATTATTCACGCGAACAATGGACGGGTAAATGGACGGGTGACAAGTGGAAGATGTGTGACAACGCTGAGGGCGGTTAATTATGATTAAACAATTCAGGTGACACCTCGGTGTTGTCAAGTAAAAACCGACATTGATCATAGCTTCTGATAAAGCATTTTGAAAGATTTCTGGAGTGGACTTTATATCTTGTATTCAAATGCACTGTCCCCATTCAGCGCCACTGCAGCTGACGAGCAGTTAAGTATTGGTGTCGATTAATTAATCCAGACAGAATGAGGCCACCTCATCAGCGTTGTTTGACGCTTAGACCTCTTGATGCAAAGTCACATATCAGTCACGTTCTGTTTTAGGTTGTGTTTCCCTACCACTTCTGGGGAATTTACACAAGAATTCATTATGCAGCCCTAACGCCCCCTTCAGGTTGGTCAAATCGTCCCTCTTTCGATCAAATACTAACTGGCATATGCCAAATACGCATTATGTCTTAAGAGGCAGGAAAAATTTCCAAAGGATCGACAAGTTGGGTTTGGTAACGTAGGAATAAGCCAGGATGCTGGGTAAGTTTTAACAGGTTATTTGAAATAAGACTGGTAATCTTAAACAAAACTAGTATGCTAACTTAAACAACTGGAATAAATGTTCCATTTATGTTCTAGGAAAAACACTTTTACACGTTGCAATATATATATATATATTAAATTCAGGGCTACAGATAAGGGCCGTATCGGCGTATGTACGGATAAAAAATATACACGATACGGTAGGAAATAATTTAGAAAACGTAGCAGATGCGCACCACAGCAATTGTGTACGGTCTTAGAATCATTTACAGACATATTTATCTGAAAAAGTATTGTTTAATAGTTTATTGACCGTTTACACCAGAGTAGCAATGCTGTCATGCATATATGAAACGAAGCACAAGTTTAATGACACACCATTAAATTTCATTCAGTACTCTAAATGTACTCTTATTGTTTTCCAGTACTCATAATTTGAAAAAATAAGGAGTACGTACTCCTGATGTTGACAAATTATCTGGAGCCCTGTCATATATACACTGATATTCCTTTACAGATGAGACTGACAAGATTTAGACACGGTAATTGTAGACTAATGTCAGAAACGTACCATCTAAGATTATATCATCACTGTAGACCAACTGACAAAATGCACAGGGAATTCATGTTTTACTTGTACAGGAGAAAATATGTTGTTGTTGTTTTTATATCGAAAATGACAATGTAGTAAATGAAAAAACAAAAACACTCACGATACACAAACAATACATGATCTCTGTTCATACCTCACTCGAAAGCAACACATCAAGAGAAACGTTTAATAGAACCTAATGTGCTTAACTTTCAAGAATATTTTAAATGATATGTGTGTAGTGCTATATGCATACGTCTAAACCAATTACAACCTTCAGAACTTTCTACTACTATCTGTAAAACTCAGCGAATTGGAATCTGCATTTGTTATGTTTACATTTTGTGCTAATTGCCTCTATGTTAGATACATTTACTAAGCTTGAAACAAACATTGTAGGTCCACGCATGTTACTGAAAATATGAGTTCATACAGTAATGAAACCCGTGAAGATGTAGGTCAGCAACCCATACAAGAGGCGACTCACTTGGTTGATGTATTTCAAATGAACATATCGATGCTTCATTTTCTCAAGTGAATTTTAAACGTTTTAACGAATTCTCTCTAACTGGTTTTGTTATAAGAAACTGAAAGTGGCATTTGCTGTTGTGAGCCGTGTACTCATGTGTAGTGGTATCATATAGTATAAATGTGTACAAAGACAAAAAGTTAAATCGTGTTGTGTGAAGCTTGAACAATGATGCATTTGATATGTCATGTAAAATATTGTGAATTATAGAGAAAGATGTAATGATACACCACATGTATTGTGAATCATGTTATCCGATGCATATACACTAAACGCCAAAAGAGATGTTACCCTCCTACATTTACGAATTACTTAAAAACTATCAAAGATATGTTAGAAGGTATTAGTTTACAAGAAAGCTGAACAACACAGCTTTATGCAAATCACGAAAAATATTTCTCAAATTCATTCATATTTAGGTGAAATGCATCTTTTTCAGAAGAGTAAAATTGCCCTTTTTTCGTCCATGCCGAAATAAACCAATAAGAGTGATGTAGATGTCCAAAAGAAAGGTTGAAATATAAACCTTGTTTGAAACAAAGATAAACCATTTAAAGTCACCATTTTTCAACTATTAAAACAAGAAACAACAGTTGTAGAGTGTGTAAAATTGTCACATAATCATTCCTATGATTTCAGTCTTTTAACACATTTTCTGCTGATTTGCATTAGTGAAAACAAGTAAACCGTGTCTGTGATATTGTGAAAAAATGTTTGGAACATCTGAAATTATCTTTGTTAACATTTTTGCTTGCAAAATAACATTTTTTCCATTTTTTGTTTACACATAGCAATATCAATCGCCAAAGCATGTAGAATGATTATGTAGGGTATAAAGAGAGCCTAGAATGAATGATATGATACACAAGTACGAGAAATATGTCACGATTAACAGCTGAAGAGAGAGAAAGAGACATTGTAATGGTGCAGATAGGGTCGACATACAATGCCGTTGCCAAAGCCCTCGGATGCCATCGTATCACGGTTATAAGACTTATTCAGGGCTTCAGACAGACTGGGGTCACCGTAGACAGACCAGAAGTGGACGTCCACGCATCACAACGCCAGCTGAAGATAGGTACCCCCGTCATTAAGGAAGGAGGGTAACGTTTCTTTTTGTGTGTAGTGTATGTTTCATATGGTGTTATGTGAATCGTGCAAACATCACACTATCAATACTGGAGACATGACCATAGAAATCCATTATAAGAGTCCATTGAACAATTCCCATTACACACAAAAGTGTTTTTGATTCACAATCGAATTCAGATGATACGGTGTTTTCACAAAAATATGAGTGTAGCATGTCAGGTGGACATGATTCGTCACAGGCACAGGCAAAAGTCTGAATGCAGAGATTTAGATATGAAACAGGCACGATGGTCTTATCTCGAACTCATCTGAGTACACCAGTGGAAGAGAACTGACTGTTTTACCATGATTGTTAAATGATTATTGAACGAGTTTTCATATACTGGAAGTCTGTGTTAAAACGTCTTGGCCAAATTCGTTGCACCAGTTTTACTTACCCGAGCAGAAATTCCCAACCAAAACACACTTTACAGATTAGCAAGGAGGAGAGTACACTGACTGTCAGTGTGGGTGTATACGTCTTCCTGGAACGTCACATCCAACACAATCGTCACA